CAAATGAATCCAGCTTTCACTGGACTAGCAAAAGAAAAGACTCCTCAGCGAGTCTGCTTTAGCTCTGTCCTTAAAACAAAGGGGGAAAGGTGCAGGCCGGGCCAGTCTTATAGCTCACACCTAGCAGGTGTGAAGCAGGCTGACTCAAGCCCTTTAACCCTTTCCCCCAGCTCTGTTCACTCAACTCTGGAAGCGGGGAGGCTTGTTCTTCCGAGACCTCTTACCATGATGGTGGCGTCTTTCCTGCAAGCACTGGTGTCATGTTTTACAGTTCCCACATTTAGGGGTAGCATGATTAGTGACCCCCAAAAGAGTCCCAATTTATATACAATTCTCCACATTCCATTCCAACACTGACCTTCCATCAGCCCTGGCTGAATGGGATTTACATAGCCACACCTCTGATTCTCTCCTGAGCAGTATTTACATGTCAACAGTTAACAGTTAATTACCTTGCAGAGCTAAACAACTGTAGTGGGCACACCCACCCCTCCTTTTAGCTGGCTGATAGCGAGCAGCAATTCAGCCCCTGCTTACAGATATATTCAAATTAATAGCAACTCTTTAAAATAACCCCGGGAAAGAGGAGAGATCATCAGCCTGCTCTATGGCTGAGGCTGCTTTTGGATGTAATATAGATGTAGAAGCTGACATTGAAGAGCAATGGCTTTCACTGTCATTTTCCCTCAGAGGTGTGGGGTGACAGGTTTAAAGGAGAGCAGGGTTTTGACATATTCTTGGTCTTATATGGTCTCTTTTTATATTGTTGAGGTGGTTGATTGAACATTTGCCATTGTGGGGGGCAAAGCATAGGAGGTAGCATCCAAAAATAAGGAGCCCAGGGAGCCATTTGTGCTCTAAGAAAATCTGGTTGTTGCTGATAAGCAGACCACACAGAGCCCGCCATATATGGCTGAGATGAAAAAGCAGGTAAACATTCCTCCTCTCTTCAGAGAGGGGGAGGGGAAGTCAGAGTAATTGGAAAATGGAGATTGAGGATGTATGTTATCAGTCAAATTATGAGAATGTAAAGTGGGAGAAATTGCCAGGTCTTTGGGGTCGCTGTGGCTAATGAGAGGAGTATTCAGCATGGATAGCTCTGCTGACTATAAACAAATTGCCCGCACTGTTAAGGCAGTGCTCCTTTGAGGTGTTGCCCCTGGTAACGGGAGAAGGGGGCCAGCACCCAGCAGTTGGTCTGTGAGGAGATTCCTCAATGCTGTCATAGGAGCTCTCCTATGGCCCTGTGGGAGGGCAAGCACTGACCTGTCAGACAGTGCAGAGTGTGAGGCAGGCACGGGAAGACCTGTTGCCTCAGTAAGGGCAGACTTTTACATTTTTATTGCCCTTTTTGTGTTCACCCAAAGTGCCTGGAAGGTCAAAAGTGCTCAGGCGGTTATTGCCTGAGCTGTGTGACTTTCTCCCCTCATCGTGCTGCTTTCTGGGCTGCTGATCAGAGAGCTCATCCCTGCCTTTGATGGCTTAGGGGACATTTGCCTCATTGGTGTATTGCTCAGACCCGAGCCCAGATCAGAGGTATTGTGTTTGTCCTTGTCAGAGAAGGACATTTTAAGTCTCAGCTGTCAGTCTTTGCGCGTTTCCTGTCAGTGACAGGAATTAAATTCTTTCAGAGCCCGCAGCTTTTACAATTCAAGACTGCAGGCGTTTTTTTTTTTCTCCCCAATAAACGAACTCAATACTTAGCTAATTTACTTGTATAAACAGGAACTGTGGAAATAAACGGTATCTACACAATTATTTGAAGAAATAAATTTGTGAGGAGAAGTCTTTGTGAGAGCAGGAGAGTTCCGTTTGCAGCCGGGGGTGGTAGAAAGGAACTGAAGGGAGGGGGGCTGAGTATGCCCGATAGTACTGAGGGAGGCCCCTGCACACCGTGTATGCACAGCCCCCGATACATTGCTGAAAGAAATCTGTCAAGAAGCGCTGGGGCGCTCTACACGTGATGTGAAGTACCCCAGGGACGCCACTCGATGAAGAATGGTCTCATTGCAAACAATACAATGAGTTTACCAGTTATGGTGAAGATGTGCTTTGTCAATGGCAGAGCACTCTACCATCAACTTAAATATTCCACTTCCCCAAGAGATGGAAATTAGGTTAGTGGGAGAGGATCTCTTGCCAACACAGTATGACACATTAGTTCAATGTTAGCAATGTCACTCGGGAGATGATTTTTTCACTCCTCTGAGCTAGGGATGTAAGTGACTAGTTGACTATACGATAAGCAAAAGCTTGTCAGATAGTCAACTAGTCCCTCAACTAGTTGCTCCTCCCACCCCAGCAAGGGGGTGGGGGAGAGAGCAGGAGCGTGTGTGAGGGGAATCCAGTTGAAAAGCCAGTTCACTCCAGCATCATCTCCACGGGGGAAGGGGAGGCAGAGGAGTAGCGGGCACCAGGCGTGAGCCAGGAATCAGCCAATTCCTGGCTCGTGCTTAGTCCCAGAAGCTGTGCTTCTGCTTTTTAAATGTATTAAGAGACTGTCAGCTCTTAATACATTTAAAAATCAGAAGTGCATCAGGAGACCCAGCACGAGCCAGGACAGCTGACTCCTGGCTCCCACTAGGTTCCTGCCCTCTCCCTCTCCACTGTCCCTCCCTCCCTCCCTGCTGAGCTTTAGCCTTTTAAATGAATTAAGGGGCTGGTGCGCAGCTGGGGGATGCTGCAGGAGCCAAAAATCGGCTGTCCCAGCTCGTGCTAGATCCCTCCTGCTGTGCTTTAGCTTTTTAAATTTATTAAGAGCCAATATAAGGCAGCTCCCCAATTTATTGATTAGTTGATAGAAAATTCATTGACTAGTCAATTAGTTGATTAAACTAAATTTAACATTCCACTGAGACAAATAACATTATTTAAATCCCAAAATCTTCATTGAGCAGGAGTTAATGGTTGTTATTGTAGTATCTGTCAGTAGTATTTAATATAAAATTGCAAAATGAAATTTTAAAGTAGTTATGAAACTAGGGATTTGCACAAACTGTATGTATCCACCACAGGAATATTTTATATATTTATTTTGTAAAATACATGGAAGGCAGGCTAGCAATACAATTGTATATTATGACGGATAAAGCTTGTGTCCACCTAAGTGGCATTCTGTTTGATTACACTTGTGCAGCAGGTAACAGGGTCTGATTCAAGGCTCAATTAAGTCAATGGGAGAAAGGTAGTTTTAGATAAGACCAGGTTCTCTCTCCTTCCCAGCTGGGAGATAATTTAAAAAACAATAAAGGAATATATCAGGTGTATAATCATTCCACTATAACTCAACTTGAAGATATCATCTAGCATACCTGTGACTTTATATCTCGATGCAAAATTTTTCTGTCATGCACATGTTTTAGTGCTAAACAAATCTGTACAAACCAATCTATGATCTAAACATAACAGAGAAAAGCAGAGTTAGTGTTCTAGTTGTATCTGCATACCTACAGACAGTTTGAGGCCCTTAAAAATGAAGTATTACTTTTATTCCAGTTTTACTTATCTGGAGTTTACTATCATTAAGTTATGATAAAGCTGTATGCGTATATACAGTAAAACTCCAATGGTCCGGCATCTGATGGTCCAGCACTCCTGATGGTCCGGCACCATCAGGAACCCGGAAGTGCTCCAGGCAGCCGGACCATTGGAGCTGCTCTGCCCCCAGATTCAGCTGCTGCTAAAACTGACCAGCGGCTGAATTTGGGA